CTCCTTGTGGCCCATCAACTGCATGTCCTGCTTCCATCATATTTACAACACTCCACTAAGACTACGCTTAACACACAAACCTGTAGATATAAAGCAATAGAAGGACCAGTGGGATACTAACTAAGGAATTTGGAGTAGGGCTGGTTGCACACTCAGTTTATCTATTTCAGAATTCTATACTGGGTGTATAATTTAATGTAAGTATATGTTTTATTCTTTACACATGCTGGCATTGCCTGAGTAATCACACTTATTATTGATACTATTGTAATTTCAATACAAAATAAATACAAAGTCCTGCTGTGTGATCTAATATCCACCAACACACTCTAACACCTGTGTGTTCACCTCTCTATACGCACAAAATAAAGATTATACATACATACAAAAAAAGGTGGAGTGTAGTTGGTATTCACATATGGTATCACTGCAAAAGACAGAAAGACAAGGCACACGCCTAGTGCAATTCAGTAAGCAGATGAGTAACTCTAGAATATAGTACTCACAAATATGGAGCCTATATGCAAGGCTCACCACGGGTGCAGGTGGGGAAGTTAGAAGGGAGCCCACTCCCTTAATGATGCTGTAGAAGTTTTCTTCTTTACCCAATAAGTTCACTGACCGTGATTTCCAAAAAACAGAAAAAACTTTATTGGTACAAAAGATAAATTTAAAGCGCGTTAAAAAGTGGTATAATAAATAAAGTCCACATAAAATAAACTTGCAAGACGCGTTTTGCCTGTTGCTTCTTTTTCTTCCCTCTTGTCCGGTCGTTTGTATATGCTCCTCCTCAATTACTGACTCCGATCACCTGTTTCCATCGGTTACTTCTGTCTCTCCTCAATGACGCGGTATCTCGAGTCTCTTCGTGATGATGTCACGATGATGTCGGTCCGTATTTGGTTTGCATGCTCATGTTCCAAATTTTCACTAAACATTATTGTCCATAACGCATCCATTGCTATGCACTACATGTTCCATAGGCACATAGAAAAAAAGGAACATCGTTATGTATATTTTTTCGTTCACACATATCACAAGGTATCAAGAATGCGATATAAGTAAACTATAATGCATTTCAATTTAAGAAAAATATATAGTAAGTGCTTGCATAAAAAGATGCTTGCAGAAAAAGATGATCTACTTACATTGTAATCACTTTTTTGAAAGAATGTTGATTTTGGTTCTATGGACACAACTTTGTAATATGTTTTTTTTGCCTACATTTGCATACAAATATACCCTGTTTGTCACTGTTATGTTAACCAGAGGTCTATGTGTCAATTCTAGATGTGTACAGTAAATTTTGATAACCAATAAAAATTGTGAAAATTTAAAAAAAGGCCCCAGATTGTGATAATGGTTATGATTCAGTCTTTTGTAATGTGGGTGGCTTAGTGAATGTGCTTTTTATGAAGTGCTAATATTTGGGATGGTCAAACATATTGAATATTTCACCACAGCTGTACAACACAAGCATTTTTTTTTTTTTACATGAGTCAGTGGGTAGATGGGTGAGTGGATGGGTGGTGTGCATGCCCAATACAAATCTGGTTTGGATTCCAAATCTACACAGAAAAAGGGGAATGGAGGGCATACATGAGACAAGCATTTCTAAGTAGTGTTGCTGCCTTAGAGACCAAAATATACACAAAAAACAGATTCAGGAAACGTGCGCACACACACACACACAAAAGTATAATATTTTATAAGGCTACTTAAAATCACCTATCTTAGCAAACAAATATGGGGATTAAGTAACACTATATGGCCATATTGTGTTAAGCCCACTGCTACAACAAAGTTAGGTCATTTTAAGTAGCCTTGTAAAATATAAAACTGTATAATTTATTTATTCATTTATATATTTGTTGTGTGTGTGCCCTGTTCTTTAACCTGTATTTTGTATATATTTTGGGATGTACTGCTTCAGCAGATTTAGAATCCAGACCAAATTCCTATTGGGCTGAGAAACCCACCCATCCACTATAGGTGCTCCTTTGGAGTTGACCACAGTAAAGATTAAATTGAGGAAAATCTCTGGAAGTAGTTTCAGCAGTAAGTATTGCAGTTAGCATTTTAATCTCCCATGTTAAAATTAGTGTAGGACCCACCATATTAGGGTACTGGGATGTAGTGGGGGCTTAACACAATATGGCCAAATGGTGTAACTGAATCCCCATGTAAAATTAAAAATGTGTTTTATTTTTTTTGCTTCTTGATCTGCAGTTTGTATATATTTTCATCTTTATGACAACACCACTACTTAGAATTGCACGTTCTGGATTTGCCCCCAATTACTCTCTTTTTCTGTGAAGATAATAGCTTTTCTTTAATTAACATCCCTTTTTGCCATGTCCCCGGCTCAGGACACATTTAAAAGATGTTAGATAATAAAAAATAGATTTCATTATTAACCAAAAATGTCTATTGTACAATTCTTTTTATATTTTCTTTTGAATGAATGTGCTAAAAGGTAAGAGCCTTTTGAAAACTAAAGCTGACCTGTTGCTAGGAAACTGGAAGAAATGTAAATTATTTCTCAGATTATTTAATAACCACCCTCGGAATTTTGTGTTGGAAGAATGTTAAATATTCAGATAATAATGAGTGTCTGCTTAGAAACGAAAAAAAAAAACGTGACTGCATATATTTAAAGAGGATGTGAAAATGACTGTAAAAGTCACAATTTTGCAATGTATTCTAACAAAAGCTATACCAAAAACATCTAATAATAAATCCTACATTTATAAAGCTTATATTACAATAGGGATGTGCATGGTCAAAAAAATCGGTTCGGTTTGGAAATTTGGGTAAGTAAGAAAATTTGTCTGCTTTGGCAATTCGGACAAATGGCATTCGGTTCAGCACTTCCGAACTACCAAACTTCGGCAATTCGGAACTTCAGTGATTCAGAACTTCGGCAATTCGGACATTCGTAAGCATCCGAATGTCCTAATTGCACGAAACGAATTGTACATGTCTATGGTTGTGGTGGCAGTCCAGGCACTGGGAGCCCTATAGATGCATAAGTGGTTGTGGTGGCAATCCTGGCACTGGAAGCCCTACAGATGTGTAAGTGGTTGTGGTGGCAGTCTGGGCACTGGGAGCCCTATAGATGTGTAGGTGGTTGTGGTGGCAATCCTGGCACTGGAAGCCCTGCAGATGTGTAAGTGGTTGTGGTGGAAGTCTGGGCACTGGGAGCCCTATAGATGTGTAGGTGGTTGTGGTGGCAATCCTGGCATTGGAAGCCCTATAGATGTGTAAGTGGTTGTGGTGGCAGTCCTGGAACTGGGAGCCCTATAGATGTGTAAGTGGTTGTGGTGACAGTCCGGGCACTGGGAGCCCTCATTAGAGTACTCATGTTCTCATGACTCATCTGAGAGGAAGTCCCTACTCATATGGTGTATGCAATGTATTGATTTGACAGATGTAGGATGCTGAAGTTGAGAGCCCTGAATCCTTAATCATTGTGACTTGCACAGCATAGAACAGGAATCTGTGGAAGCTTATAAGACACAAACGACATTTCCACCAATGAAAACTATAGTGCAGGAAGGGGCGTGGCCGACCACCGAGCAAGATGGCCGCATAAGGACTTGCTCCGGTACTGAGCTCTTATACATGAGCTTTTAAAGGCACAAAACAACAAAGAAATAAACAAAATAACGGCGCCAAAAGCGATGGCCATCCACAGGACGAAAAAAACGACGGCCAAAACAGACAAAATCAACTTTTTTGGCCACAAAAGCCAAACTCCACAAACGGCCTCACAGCCGGATGCCCAAGATGATGAGGGAGATTCGGATTCGAGCCTCCCCATGGCGGATAACACCCAGTCCGACCAAATCACGAAAAGTTTCCTGGAGCACGCACTTCCAAAATTGAGGACAAAATGGGGGACTTCGCTTCTGCCCACAACAACATGGCGGATCATGTCCAACAGTTGGAGGAGAAGGTGGAACGCCTGGAGTCGCAAATGGCAGATGCGGAAGATCGGGCAAGGCGGAACAATATCCGGCTTCGAGGAGTACCAGAGTCGGTGCAACCGGTAGACCTTCAGGCCTACGCACGAGGCCTAATGAGAGCTTACGCGCCGGACATACCGACGGACATGATGCTCATAGACCGGATACACAGGATCCCCAAGCCGGCTCACCTGCCAGACTCCACGCCACGAGACGTGTTGCTGCGGGCCCATTACTTCCATGTCAAAGAGCTGGTCCTCACGGCGAGCCGTAACCGCAACCACCCGCATGAAGACTTCCCCACAGTAAAGATATTCAATGACCTCTCGGCAGCAACGCTGAAAAAACGACGGGCATTCCAACAGGTCGCAGAAGCTTTACGGCAACATGGCACCAGATATTGATGGGGCTACCCGACTAAGATGCTGATTCAACGCGGAGGCGCCTTCAAACGCGTCCATTCCCCGGAGGAAGGAGTTCGACTTCTAAAAGAATGGGGGATACCGCTTGGCCAGTCGGAGCCTACTGCACAGCCGATTAAGAAGACAACACGGGAGTGGAGCGCCGTCCGCCAGAGACTTACCTAATGGACACGATGTCACGGGTCGCAAGTATTGTCCGCGCACAACACCACAACTACGCTGTCCTGCACCACATCACACAACTTATTTACACGCACCTGCTACAGATGCCGCTCTTTTAGGCGCTATATTCCACACACTACACAAAGCACTATGGCGGATGACCCGATCTGAGGACCGCAAGGCAGAGTGCCTGTCTGCACATCGTGGACACTTTCCTGAATCTTGACCCAACATGCACTAGCTACGGCCCGACTCACTCCAAGAGTGGCCCGCCACTCAATACTTTCAAGATGGTTATAATGTTTTGTTTTCTTTTTAGCATAACCTACCTAAACTTTGCATATGTTATTGGGATGTCAGGGGTACTGGGGGCTTAGAGATGCTACACGGAATACTGTATGCACTGATATATGTATGGAAACATGCCCAGGAGGACCCCTTGGCCCCCATGACAGGTCGCTACATGACATGTCACACTGTAGGAGACATTAAAGTAGACCAGAGAAACCGGGCCCAAGCGAGGCCTGAGGCTATGCAGAGAGCAGGGAAGTTCCAGCACTTAACACAGTCCCCGCCGTGTGATGCACACTATTACGCGGCCGACGAAGCAGGCTAAATTCTTCTAATCTGGGAACAAATAGAACCCACATGCCAGGCGCATTTCAGCCTTTCTGACTGACCACAACTCACAGAGCTCAACAGCCACATCACGGGAGAACTCAGGAACTCCCACCCCCGAGGTGTGGACCTACCACACCAACTCCTCCCTGGAGGAAATTTTGCTCACCATATCCAAGTTTGATTGTCCAAGTTACACCCCCTTCCCTACCCCTTTCCACAGAGAGGATTCACTGCTAACCAGCCTACCCATTATAACATTCACCACCACCCCATGCCACAGTGGAAGCAAACCCCAATGGCACTATGTGCTTTAATTCAGCACCTCACCCTCCACTTATGTCTCTAACAATACGATCCCACAACACAAGAGGGTTGAATCACCCCCATAAACGACGCCTTCTCTTAGAAGAGGCAAATAGGGACAAAATAGATATCTTATGTGCCCAAGAGACTCATTTTGTGACCAATAGAGTCCCTCAGTTTGGGCTACGGGACTACCCAACTCAATTCCACGCAACCCACTCCTCTAAATCCAAAGGGGTGTATTTTTTGATACATCACACACTGACGTTTGAATTGCTGAGCCTACGCAAAGATGCGTAGGGGAGGTATATAGTATTGCACTGTATAGTTAACAATACCGAATATGTCCTGGTGGGGGTATACAGCCCAAACACAAACCAAACACAATTTTTCAAGAAAGTCATGAACAAACTACCCACCTCCACGACGGGAAACACAATTATATGTGGTGATTTAAATCATGTGCTGAACTCCCACGCGGATACGTCCCTCCCTAACACCTCCCCACGACATTCCGCAATGAGGACACAGAGTAAAGCCCTACACCATCTACTAACAGAACACAACCTATATGACACCTGGAACCTATATGACACCAGAACACAACCTATATGACACCCATGGAAAAAGGGTTCACCTACTTCTCACAAGTACACAAGTCGTTCTCCAGAATAGATTATGCCCTGGTGTCAGGGCCACTGGCGTCCAGAACCACCCACTGTCAGATTGGAGACATTGTGTGGTCAGACCATGCGCCGCTCACGGTGACTCTAAGCGACTCCTTTCCCCATAGAGGGCGCCCACCCTGGAGCCTAAACGACTCAATTTTGCACGACACTACATTCCAGGCACAACTGATGCGGGATCTGGAACAATACTTCCAGACCAACAACACTCCGGACATATCCCCCGGCTCATTGTGGCAGGCCCACAAGCCGACCATACGAGGGCTGCTGATTAGCAGAGCCGCCCACATCAAACGTAAATCCAATGAAGAATACATGACACTACTTCGGACAGTTAGAGATACCACGGCCGCACATGCACTAAACCCAAACGCTGCTCACTTTACCATCATAGACTCCGCTACTAGACGGCTGAATGACATTCACCTAGCCAAATCATCCTACACTATGCAACGCTTAAAAATAAGACAATATTCCCAGGGTAACAAAGCAGGGAAAGTCATGGCAGCAATGCTAAGGAAAAAACAATCCCAGTCTAAAATCCCTTACCTATACACAAATAGCGGGGCAAAACTGTACAACCCCCAAGACATCAACAACGAGATGGCAAAATTTTACCACACACTGTACAACTTAAAACAAGACGCGGCAACCCCACTGGAGACACTGAGCCTGATCATACCGGGATTCCATCTCCGCATGTGGCACGACCATGACATTAAACATCTACACCACATATGTCAGGGCCCAACTTTGAACACATTCACTGAGATCCAAAAACAATATGGGCTTCCAGACACAGCTCACTTTTCATATAGGCAATTAGCGTCATGGCTCAGGACGCAAACGATCTGTTCTTATCATCCGGAGGCTGGGCTACAAATGACAGAATTAGAACTAATATGCCTCAACCTAAGACCAAAGAAAAAACTTATCTCATTAATTTACGCTATATACAATTCCACAACAGGCCCACATACCTTCACCTTCACAAAAGCGTGGGACCGTGATCTAACAACTCACATATCTGAGATCCAATGGGCCAAAATATTTAAGGGACACAGGAATCTCTCATTGTGCGCCTCCCATACAGAGATCACGCGTAAAATACTATACAGGTGGTACATGGTCCCCACAAGGCTCCACAAAGGGAACCCAAACATATCGGACACGTGCTGGCGCTGTACAGACGGCAAAGGGTCCATGATACACATTTGATGGACATGCCCAAAACTGAAACCATACTGGGACGATATAACACAACTAATCCAAGACAGCACAGGTGTCCACCTACCACAGAACCCTGAAGTCTATCTATTTCAACTATTTCCCCAAAATCTCACGAAACCCCAAGTATACCTCATCTACCATATCATTGTAGCAGCACTACAGGCGATAAGCAGACTATGGCAAAATCCAGTCCCACCACACCTGTCCCAATGTATCAGAGCACTACAGATGATGAGACAACACGAACTAATGGCACGTAAAAATGCACCACCAAAACAATTTATAGCGGTAGCCTGGGACATGTTGGAAACGTACATGACGGGGCCAACCAAAGGGGGAACCTCCGAATCACCGCAACATGACACCACTTAAACATGACACCACTTAAACATACAAAATTGAGAGGCACAGACTGCCTCCATAGCGTCACCCAGCCTCCCACCTACCATATTGACCAATACTGTCCAAACCTGACATGGGCGACACATAGTGGGACTCGAACCACACTGGGTTAGGCACAACTCCAACTCCATCTGCTCTTAACTGAGCATGCTAACCTCCTCTCCCCCCCCTCCTCCGATCCCTTCCTCTCTACCCCCCCCCTTATGTTAATGTTGTATTGTTCGTTGTATTATAATTGTACCAAACGTATCAACTGGTAGCAACCTTATGACATTTGTACTACTGGATATATGTATGTAAATCCTACCCATTGTTACAATCTCCTACTGTACAAGATGATTTTTGGTATGTTGATACTACAAAATGCAAATAAAAAAAATAAAAATAAATAAAAAAAAGAAAACTATAGTGCATTGTGAATATCATAAGCACTGTTTTATCCCAACTCTTAGTACTTAAACACATCTCCGAGAATGTTATTTTATTTACATTTTTTAGGACATTATAGTCTGGCAGCTTGGTCCACCTCAGCTACTGCAGCCTACAGATAAATATCCCAGTGGGCCAATCCATTCCTGTAGAACATTGAGCTTACAGACCACTATCCCATATACAAACCTGCAATGTCCTGTTGTACTTTGTCAGTTGACATTCACAAAATATACCCTTTGTCTTCTTCCTTTGCAAAATTCAGAATAATCAACCCAGCTGAAGTTTGGCTGTGGCAAAGGCCACTCTGATCCCATTACCACCAGTCTCATGCTTCTTTGAAAGGAAGGTGAAAGGAAGAGTGAAACACGGTGGCCTTTGGACTGCTCTCTATAATTCATCTGAGGTTGTAAAGGTTATATAATATATCTCTGTAACTCTGCATACTCTTTACTGACAATTCTGTTTACTGAGTGTAACGGAGCTCCCTGTACCCCAGCTGGGTACCTCTGCCAAGGACCGCTTCCAAGCTGGAACAGGGGACAAATCTCAGCACTTCTGCCCACAGTAGCCATGACTTGACTGGGGTCCTGGAACCACTCTGTCCTGGAGCCGAATGGGGGAACTCGCTCTATCCACCCCAGGCACTGGAAGACACTCAGTCCTGGGAGCTCTGGTCCTTACAAAGTCTTTCCCCGTTGAATCCTCCACACTGGAAAAGTGATTAGTGATTAGCCCTTTCCCCTCCCAGTAACCAGACGACACAAAGTTCTGGGAGTACAAGCTGGAATGTTTTAATGTGGCCAGATGGCCTGCTTTTATATGTTTTCAGATACAGTTGAGCACACCCATGACACTCCCACACAAACAAGATAATCCCTCTCCTGGACCTGAAAGGGGACTAGTTACAAGTCCCAAACTCCTCCCCTGTGTCTGAGTGATAATTGAGTTAGGAACTGAACTAACTCAATTATCTTCATACACAAAAACCCCACAATTCACAGACATCCCAAACATACCTTTAAAATACATTGAAACCCCCTAAAAGTTACATCCCCTGATAGTCCCAATCTGGGTGACCAACATATCCAAAAATCATCCGAATCGGTTCAGGGGTTCAGGAATTTCCTGGAAGTCCTAATTTAATGGACCATACATGAGATTCATGCCCAAGACAGTTCCATAAGATCAGGGCTAGCAGTCGGTGTCACGGCAAGGGTGTATAATTTATTATTACACTATGGAATATCATCTTTTAATGTAATTTGTGTAGTAAATGGCACAAATTACAGAGATGCTATTGCTGAGGTCAACAGGGATTACATCTTTTGAAGCTGGGACCCCCGCAGAGGTCAGATGACAGAAGGGGTAGTATGAATGGCATAGGAATGTGAAAAGGATTTTACTATATGGATGTGAAGTAATCAAGGATCTGCCAGGTGTGAGATTCTACACTTGGAAAAAGTCTCAATGTCTCTTCATCCATTTGGCATGTACCTTGTAAAGGATAGTTCAATCATTTGAAATGGTAATGGGATTCGTTTCATGAAGATCCTTGTGTTCCAGTATCTTATCCAAGTGAAACATTAATACTTACCCACAGGTTAATAATTAAGCCTCATATTTATTATATTTGGAATGGGACAAGCCCAATCTTTTAATTAAGCCTAAACATGAGTTGCACAACTTAAACCGTGTGGCAGGACTTGTGATGTCAGTCCTATTGGATCATGGGCGGGGCGTGCAACATGTCTTTGGAATGGGAAAACAATAACAAATTCATAGAGGCAATTATTAATTCTGTGGCAAGTACAGTAGAGGAGATAAAACCAAAAGTTTGTATGTGGCTTGTTGTTTTCTGGAACAAAGGAGGTGGTCACTTAGTATCCCTATTGCTCCACCCCTGGGTGAGGCGTGGCAATTCACAGGGTATATC